AGTTGGCATCATTTCTGCTTGAAAGGTAAGACATTATGCTTTCAAAGCAGCGGTGTCCGTGCATTGAAAGGCTACGTAGCGAAATACTTTTTTTTGTCTACATCTAAGTTTTTATTTGTGGAAAGTGCTCAGAGTGAGAGAATGATGGGTCATTTTCTAAATACTATCTGTAATACGCATTTCTAGCAAGATCTCTGCGTCAAACTAACACACTAGCTAGCATTAGCATTAGCATTAGTGAACTGCGGTTTGTTTACAAACGGGGCTTTTTCTAGAACCTTACAAACATTTTCCCTTTTAAATGTATGTACATTGCAATCGCAATAGTAACTAGTTAGTTGTTGAGCGTGTAGAGTCTTCGAAACATACGCGTGTTATTGTAATTGTCTCACTGCAATACTTGATATTGCCATCGCTAGCAGTAACAATGGCTCTATTGTTGTAGTTACGAGAGGCACCCTCTATCAAAGGGACCACCCATGGCCCATCAGCAGAGGTGTTGATGGGGCCCCATCCCCCCAGTTCAGTGACTGCAGGCGAATCTGAAAAGTCAACTAAAAAGTATTTTGTCCTACAGGGAAGAATTTCACATTGCAGGAGTTGAACCTCTGACAGCAGATACAAGGTTACAATCGTTAGAGAAAAGGTAAACATGCATGAATTTGACGAATACTGTTTTTTGTCAAAAAAATTCTATGTGTATGTGTTGGTTCATAATTTACATATTGGGCTGTTCTTTTTTAATTCCAGAATAGAGTTTGAGGGGGATGGAGTTTCAGACCCGTATGATTCAGATTATGTGCCACCAATCTCATTACGGTATGTATTTTTTTTCTTATCTTTTACCTTTCACTCACTGATAGTATACATTTCATTTGGGTTGTAAAATAGCGGTGCATCGCAGGATATGGTCGACAAACTTCCTTGCATTGGGCTGGAATAATCTATATTAGACATTGCTGACTGTGTTGAGGAAGTCCAAGAAGCAGATCTTGAAGAGGAGGCAGCAGCCACCATTCCCATTTTCCCAAAACCATATGGAGTGGTTGTTGAAAGTGACCTTGTAAACCAGCAGGCATGCATAGCATACAACAAAAAAACCTCTGCAGATGGCAACTTTTCTCCAATTGCCTGTCAATAAATGCCACTACAGTGACCACACAGGCACAGAGTGTGACGGCCGTCCACCCTTTTCTGTAAAGTCACATGCGCGAGGTCCGTCTTTGATATTGGAGTGGGTGAGTTTACATGGTTTGCACATGTGTTTACCAGACTAAGGTGGTACATGTGTGAAGTTACAGACTTGTTAACACTTTCTTCCCCATATAGTTTTGCCTGCACGGCCACAAATTATGGAGTTTATGCAAGGAGGAGATTTTATGTTGTTCTCCAATATTTCCCTCTTATTCAAATTCATGAATATCTGCATGGTGCCTCCTCAACATCTTCTGCAGTCCAGGGAACCTACTGTCTAAAAACAATAAAGCAGTTTTGGGAGGAGAAAAGGACTGCTATCATCAACAGATTAGAGTCCAAAGACAACGTTGTTGCCCTTGGTAAGTAAGCATATTCATTTCTAAGCCCGTGTATATGTATGCTTACATGCCTTTTGTGTTTATGTTTTAGCTGACGGGAGGATCTACTTTCCAGGTAATGCACAAAGCTCTGTGGCATTTCATTAATATCGGTGTGTTGTTATTGAAATGTTTGTCATTATTTCCCCCACAATCTTTATATTTTTCCAAAAAGGTCACTCTGCTATGTGCTGTACGTACACAACGATGGAGCTAGACACCATGGACATCGTAAGTGTTTAATTGTATTTAACACAGGTCTGGTAAGACTTTTTAAAATATAATTGTGGTGTCTTCAATCAGGCTGGAATGGTTTCTGGTCAAAAGGCTTTACTTGTATGGATCGAGGACATCTTTAACCATTTCTGGTATGCTTGTCAGCACACAAGCACCAGAGAGGAGTTTATGGTCTGTATGAACATTGGATAATTATAACGTCACTAGATAATGTAATTTTTCTCTTTGTGTGGTGACATGGTATAACTTTTGATATACAACGTATTGTATACATTTAGGGTGTGTGGAGAGATGTACTTCACCATATGCGCCTCTGGAGGATAAACAGGACAAAGAGCCCATTCCACGTGGTTCTTAACCAGAGGTGGCTGAAGGATATTGAGAAGTTGCTCACCTTTCGATAAGTCATGTGGGTGACATCTTGTGGGAATGTACAGGAACTGCCTTTTTAATACTACAAAGTATATTATATTACACAGAGATCGAATTTATTTGTATGTTTGACGTTACAATAATCTTTGTTCTGTAGGACAACTTCGAAGCTCGAATCTTTCCAAAACCATGTCCTGATGTACGCAGGGAAGCGTTTTGGATTTACTTATGGCGCCTATGAAGTTCGTACACTCCTCGCTGCATTAGACTACACCACCATACACCACAGTATAATAAGTCATACTTTATTATCAAGATACAGTATAAAAGCAATAAAGAAATATATTATTTCTACTGATGTCTACAGAAAAAGTCTCAGTGTTACACTGTGAAGGAGACTAAAGACTACAGCTCTATCCCAGACCAGCGCCTCAGCTCTGCTGGGGGCTCATGACCCCAGGGCCATGGGTCCTCTGTCCTCCTCATCCCTCCTCCTGCTGGGGACCCATGACCCCAGGGCCATGGGTCCTCTGTCCTCCTCATCCCTCCTCCTGCTGGGGACCCATGACCCCAGGGCCATGGGTCCTCTGTCCTCCTCATCCCTCCTCCTGCAGCTGAACTGGAGCAGACACAACAGAGGACAGGTAGTGATGATTATCAAGTGGAAAACAAGTCTCTATGATATAAAATATTTTTCTTTCTTTTTCTAGGACTTTATTATCTGGTCCCTGAACAGAAGCTGACAGCAATCAAAGATGGACACAGCACATTTATTTATATTATGTCAAATATAAAAAAATTTCCCCCAAACATTGAAATAAAAGAAAGACTCATTTCTAAAGTGGTGATGAGTTGCATTTTAGTTTTAATTCCCTACTGTCGAACGAATAAAGGGGCTTCTTTATAACCCACATGTCCTGCTCTTCTCATTCCTGCCTGGCCTCTCCTCTGGCTGCTGCTCTTCCTCCTCTGGCTGCTCCTCTTCCTCCTCTGGCTGCTGCTCTTCCTCCTCTTGCTGCTCCTCTGGCTGCTCCACTTCCTCCTCTTGCTGCTCCTCTTCCTCTTCTTGCTGCTCGTCTGCCTCTCCCCCATTCAAAGTCACTGCTCTCAGAAACTACAGATTCAACTGGACTGGAGTCCTGGAAGGAAAAGCAAAAAGATTTAGATGTCACTGTTCTGGAATGTGTGTTTTGTACAAACTTCATCGAAAAATATTTTGAATTTATCAGAAGAGTTGATATAGTTTTATACCTACAGACAACTTGTGTAGTATTAGTAGCAGACTAGTGTCAGTAATAACAATAATAAAAACAAAACAGTAACAGTGGTAATTATGCTGTATTTTCTATGGGAATAATAATGTTGCTAATGTTAGCTTGTCTTGGCTGCAAAATAACAGTGACTTCACTGATTTATGTTTATGAGTAGTAAATATACCACAAAAAGTCTGATGACGCTAACCTTATAAGGCCCAATGAAAAGATGATTTTGGCTTGTCATGGAAGCATTTCTATCTGTGGACCTGTATTATTACAGTTAGGCTTACGTTTATATATATGTAATAGACACTTTTTTGTTCCCCTTTGAAATGTTGTTCATTTGTGTGAATATAATGTGGCTTCAGGCTTTTGATAATTCACTTTGCTTTACATTTGCTGAAGTATCACATTTTGGAAAATATAGATTTGATTTGGTCTAAATATCATACAAAACAGTAACATGTCTTACCTCTGTTGAAGTCATCCCCGCAAATCTGTAACTTATCGAGGACAGGACCATATCAGCTGTTTCGCTTGGACGATCGGGGTTCGAGCCCCGGCCAATCCTCAGTTTTTATTAGCGGGGGGAGTATATGAATCAGATTACTCCGTTACTGAATAAAGTTGAATTTTTTTCCTGCAGTTTGGTTGGTGCAGATTGTGAAGTTTACAACAGTTTACTACAGTCTAGCAACTATTTTAAATGTGTTGGCCTAATTACTAAGTATGTTTTAGAAAAAATGTAAACGTCAACAAAATCAAAAGTGTCATAGCCTGTACTTGAACCCGGGTCCTCTCACACCAGAGTCCACCGCCTTATCATTGAACTATAAAGCCACAGAGAGTTGACCGGTGACAGAGAACAAAGACCGATGAAAAGCCAATTTTCCTAACCCTGCTCACAAGTGCCACCTGGTGGTTGTTTGGGTCATTGCAGCATCACTGGGGAAAAAATAAATAAAAGACGCGTGAATCACACGTGAGTCTCGTGTGATTCACGCGTGAAAGGCGACAAAACGAAGTGGGACCTACTGTACATTAATATCTGTTTTACATCCTGGAAATGGAACTGTTCTGAAGGAAACACATTCCACTGAGGATCAAGCAATAGTTCAATAGTTGTGTTTTTAGAAAAGTAAAGAGCATTTTCATCAATCTTGTTTTTCAAATTGAGTCTCCATCCATCTGCTTTCTAATCCAAGCTGCTGTTTTATATATTGTTTGTTAAATGATTAGTTATTGCATTATTGTGAAGGGTTCATGATCCGGTAAAGTGCTAACATCGCTCAAACTAGACTCGAGTCAGGGTCAGGTTTGGTTCGTTTCAGAACAGCTGAGGGTAAAGGATGGATGGATTTAGATCAACATTTGGGAGGCGGAGGTGCAGCCTCGGTTTATGTACTTTTATGGATATCCCAAAACCCCTTCACATTGTGTCTAAATGTATCATTGTATCAACATCATAAATATCATGTGTAACGTTATGTAAAAAGGTTGTGAACCACTGCTCTACTGCACAGTCTGTACTAACTGTGACTGTCCACAGGCTGCCAGGGTCATGGAGGTGCAGAAGGCCCAGGACCTGCACATGGCTCGGGTGCGTCGTCAGGCCGATCAGCTGCTGGATCGACAAAGGGCACGAGCCGACGCAGTGATGCACAGGACGAGGGAGAGGTCTGTCGACAGCTGCAGCTCAGAGGTGTCCAGAGCCTCCTCGTGGACACCTCCCTTCAGCCCTCCACCATTACCAACACCAAGGTAATGACATCACTAACCTACTACTATGGTCTGCTGTAGAAGAAAAAACTAACTTTACACTTTTTACCTCCACAAACAGCCGCACCCCAGAGGAGCTGAGGGCGTCATGGACTCGTCACAGCAGCAGTTCATCAGCAGGCAGCAGTTCATCAGCAGGCAGCCGCACCCCAGAGGAGCTGAGGGCGTCATGGACTCGTCACAGCAGCAGTTTATCAGCAGGCAGCAGGTCATCAGCAGGCAGCCGCACCCCAGAGGAGCTGAGGGCGTCATGGACTCGTCACAGCAGCAGTTCATCAGCAGGCAGCAGGTCATCAGCAGGCAGCCGCACCCCAGAGGAGCTGAGGGCGTCATGGACTCGTCACAGCAGCAGTTCATCAGCAGGCAGCCGCACCCCAGAGGAGCTGAGGGGACTACTGTCACTGTCCTGGGCCCAAAAATATCAATTACCTCCACTACCTCCACGCCGCACTGTGTCTGAGAGCCTTAGACCCGACAGCAAGACCCCAGAGGAGCTGAGGGCGTCATGGACTTGTCACAGCAGCAGTTCATCAGCAGGCAGCAGGTCATCAGCAGGTAGCCGCACCCCAGAGGAGCTGAGGGCGTCATGGACTCGTCACAGCAGCAGTTCATCAGCAGGCAGCCGCACCCCAGAGGAGCTGAGGGGACTACTGTCACTGTCCTGGGCCCAAAAATATCAATTACCTCCACTACCTCCACGCCGCACTGTGTCTGAGAGCCTTAGACCCGACAGCAAGACCCCAGAGGAGCTGAGGGCGTCATGGACTCGTCACAGCAGCAGTTCATCAGCAGGCAGCAGGTCATCAGCAGGCAGCCGCACCCCAGAGGAGCTGAGGGCGTCATGGACTCGTCACAGCAGCAGTTCATCAGCAGGCAGCCGCACCCCAGAGGAGCTGAGGGGACTACTGTCACTGTCCTGGGCCCAAAAATATCAATTACCTCCACTACCTCCACGCCGCACTGTGTCTGAGAGCCTTAGACCCGACAGCAAGACCCCAGAGGAGCTGAGGGCGTCATGGACTCGTCACAGCAGCAGTTCATCAGCAGGCAGCAGGTCATCAGCAGGCAGCCGCACCCCAGAGGAGCTGAGGGCGTCATGGACTCGTCACAGCAGCAGTTCATCAGCAGGCAGCCGCACCCCAGAGGAGCTGAGGGGACTACTGTCACTGTCCTGGGCCCAAAAATATCAATTACCTCCACTACCTCCACGCCGCACTGTGTCTGAGAGCCTTAGACCCGACAGCAAGACCCCAGAGGAGCTGAGGGCGTCATGGACTCGTCACAGCAGCAGTTCATCAGCAGGCAGCAGGTCATCAGCAGGCAGCCGCACCCCAGAGGAGCTGAGGGCGTCATGGACTCGTCACAGCAGCAGTTCATCAGCAGGCAGCCGCACCCCAGAGGAGCTGAGGGGACTACTGTCACTGTCCTGGGCCCAAAAATATCAATTACCTCCACTACCTCCACGCCGCACTGTGTCTGAGAGCCTTAGACCCGACAGCAAGACCCCAGAGGAGCTGAGGGCGTCATGGACTCGTCACAGCAGCAGTTTATCAGCAGGCAGCAGGTCATCAGCAGGCAGCCGCACCCCAGAGGAGCTGAGGGCGTCATGGACTCGTCACAGCAGCAGTTCATCAGCAGGCAGCCGCACCCCAGAGGAGCTGAGGGGACTACTGTCACTGTCCTGGGCCCAAAAATATCAATTACCTCCACTACCTCCACGCCGCACTGTGTCTGAGAGCCTTAGACCCGACAGCAAGACCCCAGAGGAGCTGAGGAGACTGCCGCCCTCGACCCCAAGTCCACCTCCTCACTAAACACGTCTCCCTCAAGGAAGGGGAAGTTTCATTCCCAGACTCGTCACAAACAGAGAAGGTAAGTTACAACGGTTTTGATGATTCACAACTAACGACAACAACCACATCACACAGAGACAGTCCTACAGACTCAGAGACAGTCCTACAGATTCCAAATTGTCTACTGATGTTTTAGATTCTTAACTCTAACATTAATGACATATTTCTGTGACCAAATGTTACCAAAGTCTATTTTCTTGAATTAATTCCATAACCACGTGTTTTTGTTCCTCTCACAGTTAAACTTGTGGCAGACGGGCAGAAGGTGTTCACTGCCAGGAAACAGGTGGAGGAAGTGATGGAGGAATTCAAACGGATTCAGAGACGCAGCCTTCACCTGACAGTCCCACGTAAGTTGGTCTTTTACTTTTCTGTGTTTCTCTTGTAAAGAACATATTGACTGTAATAACATGTGTCTGTCTCCACAGGCAGGAGAGCGGTCGGACACATGCTGCATCAGCTCATGGAGGGCCTGATGCAGACTCTCCGGAGATTCCAAAGCTCCCGCCACCACCGGAGAGTTGCTCCTGCTCCAATCAGTCCGGTGTTTGTCCCACGGCCCCCGACCACACCGGCCCCGAAGTCCCGCCGCCGATTCCACCTAACCCCGAGTTATATCGCCAAACCAGCAATAAATGAGTAATATTTACTTACTGGGAAAAATCTATTTAAAAAAACTTTGATATCTGAAGTTAGGGTTTACAGAAGGAGTGGAGTTGAAAATTAGCAATATCTAAAAATTCTTTTTGAATCGCATCAGTTACAAGCTTGGGACTGACTTGCAATATTCCTGTCAATTAAATGCGAAATGTTTGAGAAGACCAGAGCGCTCAGCTGTCAAAAGCCGTGCCTTCGCTGATGTCGCTGGAGTTTACAGACAAGCTGCAAGTAAAGTAAAACGTGTATGAATTCTTTGATTTCCCCGAATACATCGATCTAGGCATGTGCATAAATGTAGGCACCCTTTAAAAAGAGGAAATGGAAGAGATTTGATTAAAATAACCTTTTTGCTTCGACCAACCCCTTTTCAAACCATGCACACGTTTTTTAGTTTTTTCTTATTATGGTCCGTAAAATGCTCTATATAAAAAAACATTACATACTTACTTATCATATTTTTTGGTGAATAATTGTTTGTAAGTTGAGCATTTTTTAAATAAATATGCGCATGAAAACACCTTGATTGATAGGGGTGCCTAAACTTTTGCATACCACAGTCTTGCCTGCAAGCTGAATTCTTGCGGTATTTGTGAGTTCACAAACACTCGAGAATACATCTTGCCCCGCTCCCGCCGACCCTTTTCGAGTCGAACATCCAGGTGTTCAAGCCAATCACGCGCCAGTCTGGGGGTTTAGGGCGGGATATCCGGGTTTGAAGTGCCGGGCCGAAGCAAAACAAACATGGCTACGCAGGAGGACGGACGCGTAGCTGAGGCTATCAAGTCAGTTTTAGCAGAATCTCCAATTTCTATTTTGAAAGATGAACAGCGAGAGGCGCTTTGTGCATTTCTGGACGGCAAAGATTCTACCGGGATTGGTTTAAGTCAAACCTTGGTAGGCGGGCACACAGCGTCACTTCGCCCAATCAGTTTGAAGTATTCTGCTGCTTATCCCTCCTTTCCCCGAAAAGATTCTCCTGCAGAAGTCCCAGATTGATATTGTGGAGAACGCATTATCAACACAATCATCAATCTGGCTCTTACCAGGTTAATACAGTCTATGATTTAGAGAAAGACAGTGTGGAGCTGTTATCTTCTGTCACGTTTTCTGAACAGGCAGAGTTGCAATATTATCAGAGAACGCTTATGAGAAGATGTGATAATGTGTAAAATGTGTCAAATGTGTCAAACGAAGCCAAAGCTGTAATCGCAGACATCTGACGGATCCGTAACGACGATCTGTGCACTTGCTTCACTGCGGGCGCTATCTCTGGATCTGCACTTTCCCAAAACAAGGCTCTGGCACAGCTGCTCTGGTGTTATTAGTGAGAGGGAGGCTCCGATGTGGCTTTGATAGCAGCCGCAGGAGACGACCGGGCTGCCGGTGGGCTGTCGGGAGGTCCGGGGGTTATGGAGACCCCGGTGCCAGCCTGGACCTGCCTCTGCGCAATTAGTGTGTGGATTCCAGCGCACACAGACGCTCCCGCTGCTTTCAGGTTCACTTAACTCTTTCCTGGATGCTCTGCCTTTAACTCAGCAACAAACAGTGTAGAGAGAGAGAGACCAGAGAGAGAGAGACTAGGGAGAGAGACCAGAGAGAGAGAGACCAGAGAGAGACCAGAGAGAGACTAGAGAGAGAGACCAGAGAGAGAGAGACCAGAGAGAGAGAGCAGAGAGAGACCAGAGAGAGAGCAGAGAGAGAGAGCAGAGAGAGACCAGAGAGAGACTAGAGAGAGAGCAGAGAGAGACCAGAGAGAGACCAGAGAGAGACCAGAGAGAGACTAGAGAGAGAGAGCAGAGAGAGAGAGACCAGAGAGCGACCAGAGAGAGAGAGACCAGAGAGAGACTAGAGAGAGAGACCAGAGAGAGAGAGAGCAGAGAGAGAGAGCAGAGAGAGACCAGAGAGAGACTAGAGAGAGAGCAGAGAGAGAGACCAGAGAGAGACCAGAGAGAGACTAGACAGAGACCAGAGAGAGCCCAGAGAAAGAGAGCAGAGATAGACCAGAGAGAGAGACCAGAGAGACTAGAGAGAGACCAGAGAGAGAGAGAGACCATTGAGAGACCAGAGAGAGAGACTAGAGAGAGACCAGAGAGAGACCAGAGAGAGACCAGAGAGAGAGACTAGAGAGAGACTAGAGAGAGAGTAGAGAGAGAGGCCAGAGAGAGATCAGAGAGAGACTAGAGAGAGACCAGAGAGAGACCAGAGAGAGGCCAGAGAGAGAGAATAGAGAGAGAGACCAGAGATAGACTAGAGAGAGAGACCAGAGAGAAACCAGAAAGAGAGACCAGAGCGAGACCAGAGATGGAGGGACCAGAGAGAGTGTTTTTCCTGAGGCTGTAGATCCAGGACTGAAACTATTTGTTTTGAAAAATGTGCTTTAGCTCTTTAATGGTCCGTCATGAGCACTTTTCAGCAAAGGAAGGATAAACAAAAAGATAGAAGATTCTGCATAGAAGGCCCGTCCCGCCTGTCATGGCCCTCTCCGCTGGGGCGTGTAGCAGGACTCACATCACTACAGGCAGAACAAAAGCTTATTCATGAGCTCAGAGTTATAGACCTGGTCCAGAGTGCAGATGCAGACATGATGTCAGGCCCCTGGTATGGCAGCTCCAGAGAAAGTGGCCTGGGACGGCTAAAGCCTGGTCCACACGAGACGATTTTAAAATTATCCGCCGATTTTCCTAACCTGAGAGACCCCACACACGGAGAAAAAAAAAATCAAGGGTCTAACCACTTTGGTCGTACAGAGTGTGGTGCGCAGCCACACGGCAAAATCACGCAAACCACACACATCACACACAAACTGATTTCACCCCCGAGCATTCACAGGTCACACGGAAATCTCACAAAATCTCTGGAGATCAAGCGTGACTTCAGAGTAAACAATCATGGCAGACGAAGAGGATGCAGCGGTGATAGTTGCCATTGGTCGAACTAGTTGGTCCTCCATCTACAACGTTCACCGGACTTTCTGGTGCGCCGCTGACTGTTATGATTTTTTTCCGGTGTTTCCTCGCCACCTCGTCACCTCGTCTTCTGATTGGCTACACGCCGCAGTCCACTGGCTCGTCTGTCCCCGACACCACACACCAAGAGAAATCGGGCCAAAACAATCCGACATGTTGGATATCCCCAATTGCAGATCAGAGCAGTCCCGAAGTCCTTCCTTCACCACACATGGAAAATACATCAGACTTTTTAACGAAAATCGGGGCGTTCTTAAGATTGTCGTTAGGGTAAATCTGGTGTTAAATCGGCCTAATTATCCTGCCGTGTGAACCAGGCTTAAGTCATCGTGGTGACGAGACCGAGCTAACCCTAACCCATCAGAGGGCCTTAAACTCTGTAGTTATGTCATAGAAGTGATACGTGGATATGAACATCTCAGTGATTGATGACTGCCTCCCTTTTAAACCATTCCATTTTCTTTCGCTTTATCTGTTGCCGGGTCACGGAGGCAGCAGTCCACTGCAAAAAGTGATCCAAATTAAGACAACAATAATTGCTCTGTTTTCTCTACTCTCGACTTGTTTGCACCGAGAGCCAAAGCAATGTCCTGTTTCTTACATGGCAATAAAAGCGATTCTGATTCGGTTTGATATTTAGGCAAACACTTCACTTATTTAATTATTTCTATAAAGAGAAAACATTAAAGGGTTCAAATGTAACACATAAAATAACTGAATAATAATTGCCTCTGACAGCTCTCTTTCTGTGTGGCATTTGCATGTTCTCCCTGTGCCTGAGACTCACATAATCCTGGAGCTCAGGTCTCAGTCCTCGGGTCCTGTCTGGTCTCGCTCTGGGGCTGTCTGTGTGCTCGCTGTTGAAAGGCAGAGACCGGGAGTTGCTATGACAATGGAAAGATAGCGCCTGCAAAACTCAAAGAGAAGAGTCGAGGAGATAAATGCCCCCGATTGCTCACTACGGTCACCTGGAGAAACACGTCTAATCCGCCTAATAACCGGACATTAAGAATCAGACAAACGCTTTTAAGGTCCAGCCTGAGTTCTGGATACAGCCTATGAGTCCTACAGCCTCAGTCCTGGGTCTACGGCCTCAGTCCTGGATCTACAGCCTCAGTCCTGGATCTACAGCCTCAGTCCTGGATCTACAGCCTCAGTCCTGGATCTACAGCCTCAGTCCTGGATCTACAGCCTCAGTCCTGGATCTACAGCCTCAGTCCTGGATCTACAGCCTCAGTCCTGGATCTACAGCCTCAGTCCTGGATCTACAGCCTCAGTCCTGGATCTACAGCCTCAGTCCTGGGTCTACAGCCTCAGTCCTGGGTCTACAGCCTCAGTCCTGGATCTACAGCCTCAGTCCTGGATCTACAGCCTCAGTCCTGGGTCTACAGCCTCAGTCCTGGATCTACAGCCTCAGTCCTGGATCTATAGCCTCGGTCCTGGATCTACAGCCGGTCCTGAGGTTTCCCCACTGGGTTTTTGAGTCTAGGACGGTCTAAGAACCCTAACCCCGCTCCCTCTGGACCAATGGCTCTAATGCGTTTGTTATTATTGCATTTCGAACAGTTTGATTCTCTGATCTGATCCTTAATCAAAAATCGAATTGATGAAGTTCGAAGCACAGTCTATGTTTCAAACTCTTCTCCTAAGTACCGGTAGACGTTTAACTTATAAAAGAAGCGTAACTTTGACTTCACAAAGTTTAATCTCAGTGCCGAAGCGAGCGCAGTGAGAGACAGACTCGACATAAGGAGGTATCGATGATCAGAGAAGCGCACACTGAGAACACATTTCAATCTGGTGTCCTGTAATTGGCCCAGCCCTGCTCCTGATACGGTACATGTACGGATGGCAGAGCTTTCAAAGAGAATACACTATCAGAGCGGCGTGTGCAAAGGTCTGTGTCTGTCGGAAGCAGCAGCAGACCCCCCCCATGAGGTACTCCCCCCCCCCCACTACTGAGGCTGAACTGTGGAAGACACCCCCACTGCTCCCACCACGGCCCGGACCCGCAGCACGGCTGGAACCGACGCCGCTGATCTCAGGGCAAGAATATGTTTTAAAACGGCGAGAACTAACTTTATCTCTTCATCAATTATAGATGCTTTACTTGTTAAACAAATGCAAATCTTTCTATTCTACCTGACTCTCTGGGCTCCATCCACAATTATCTGTTATTATAAACCTGTGATGCTATACACAACATTAAACTATTTTTCAAATCTCTTTCATCTGTTCAAATTGTGTTAATAAGACGGAGAGAGGCGGGTCAGGAGGAGCCGTGTGAGGGTCATACTGTACATACATAATGATAAAGAAGCAAGTATAAAAGCCTTATATTCTCGCACATAAATATATAGTGGTGTTGAAAGAGGATGGGAAGAAAGTGCTTAAAACGCAGGTTCAGTCAGCGTTAGTGGCGCAGGGCATTTTCTCTCCAGTGGAGTCTGTGTCTGATGCAGAGGATGGAGTTGCAGCTGGAAGAGCTAAAGTTGGAACTTAAAGAAAACCAATGGGAAAGAGCTTAGATTTCTGGAAAAAAGAGCAGAAACAGAAACTTGAGCTGGAGTTTAGTAAATAAAAGAGTTGGAGAAAGGAGTCAGCGCAGTTTTGAATAAATCAGAGCGATAGTCCGTCCCAAGCGGAGTTTGACGTTGACAAGTGCATTGGATTCATTCAACCATTCACAGCGAAAGACGTGGATAAATATTTGGTTTTGTTCAAGATTGTATGGCCGCTGCAACTGCAACATCTGTGAGGTCGAGGAAGATTAAAGATGCTATACTAGATTTATTTTCTAATGAGTTCATTAAAATGCTTATTACTACACACAAGTTGTATTATAATCCGTAATTGAATGTAAAACTTGAGCTCATTGATTCAGCTGTGTATGAACTCAGGCCGTAAAAAGTGCAGAGTAGAGACTTAGCGTGACGCCCGCTCTCCTCCAATCACAGAACGAGGCTGCGTCCTCTAGCCTCTACAGCGCTGCTAAACACAGTAGCATGTTAGCATAAGTGGCTATAACTCCTCTGGCTGTAACTGCAGACACAACAAAACAGCCCACACGAGTCACCGACACTGATACATGCAGGTTACGTCATTTTCTTCACAATAAAAGCCCCATCGAGGGTTCAAAATCTCTCCATTTGTCATGTCCTCCGTTGTTTGTTGCGGTTCCACGAGCCGGGCCGTAACAAGCATTAGCATTAGCATTAGCATTAGCCTTAGCAGTGACACATGTGGTCCTATTCTGCACATTCTGACATGATGCTCGACATGTGAGCTCAGGTCGACAGTGTTTGTTAGTGGCACAGTGGCTGAGTGGATAGCACTCTCGCCTCTCAACAAGAAGGTCCTGGGTTCAAATCCCGGTCGGACCAGGGCCTTTCTGAGTGGAGTTTGCATGTTCTCCCCGTGTCTGCGTAGGTTTCCTCCGGGTACTCCGGTTTCCCCTACCACTAAAAATATGTCCAATAGTTCTGGCATGCGCCTCCTGTTCGGCGACCCCGCTCCCATCTCTGTGTGGAGCGAGAGACAAGTGCCCAAAAAATAATAACAATTGTAAACCGCTTTGTGACCCTTGTCTGTGAAAGGCGGTATATAAATAAACATTACTTACTTACTTAGTCCTCATTGTTTGTTGTACAGTCTGACAGCAGCAGGAAGGGAAGACCTGCAGAACCTCTCCTTCTCTCAGGGAAGTAAACATGTTTTTCTATGTTACGCCTGTCGCTCGGATGAGTTTGGTTGAAACGTGTGGACAGTGTTGTCGGACTTAATGTCAGAGAGAGACATGAGATCGCTGCCCTTTCTCTGTCTCTAAACACGAACACTTCTAACACAGGAGACGCTTTTCCAATCGCTTTGGGCTAAATAATGAATCCTCTTTTAGATTATATATTTAATTATAACTTTATTGCCATTATGAAGTCAGAACAATGATACAAAATGCAGTTTAGCATCAAACCAGTGCAATAGTATAAGACAATATACATGAATGTGTGTGAGACTGTACAAAGCTGCTATTGCTAATATATATATATAAAGTGGTCGGAACAGGGTCTTTCTGAGTGGCGTTTGCATGTTCTCCTCGTGTCTGCATAGGTTTTCTCCGTGTGCTCCAGTTTCCTCTCTAAAAACATGTACAATAGGTAAAATCCTCCAGCTCTGGTCCAGACCAAGCCGAGTACCAACATCTGGAGATATGTCCTGGGCGCTGTTACTACGGCTGCTCCTGATGGAAGCCCAAGTGGCATCAGGATCTGGGTCAAATGCAGAGGACATAATTCCCTACGGGCCAATGAAGAGTTTATGTGTAAAAACAGATACGTGCCGTGGAAATGTATCGGAAAAGCTTAGAATTTTCTCTTTATCAAGTAGTTTTGTGAAAAGAAAGATCTATTTTAAAGTTTATTTTCTTTCTTGCACAGATTCCTTCAAGTGTACTGCCATTAACAGAACATTGAAGATTGTAACGAGAGGAATACAAGATTTGGACAACATTTCAAAATGGAGATATATATGTTTTTGCATTTACATAAACTTACACTGCATTATAATAAAGTTTATCTAATGGGCTGAGAGTTCAGGACTGCGGCTGCTCTGGGATAAAAACAAGTCCATTCAAACATCTCAGACTGAAACCTGAGGGAGATCCAGCCCCACAACGACTAACTCAGCCCCTCTCACCTCCAGCAAAGCAGCGAAACCACACCATAAACACACACACACGCACGCACATGAACGCACACACACACATTATTACAAGCTTTCTCATGTCCACAGAGCTTTCCCGGATGGGGGCAAAATCAAACAGTAATTACCCCGACAAGAGGGGACATGTTGGGGGCAGAAGAGAACCACGACGGAGACAAGAGGAAATAATGTGAGGACTGTAGAAAGTATTTGGACGACTTTAAAGGAGACGTGAAGGAAAAGGAGCAGACGTAGACAATAACAGAATGGTATCTTTTATCATTCCGCAGATCTGAGTCCAGTGAAGTCACGGGCTTAGTCTAAATGGAAACTGTTTTGCCAAACGGTAGAACACCATTACTCCAGACAGACCTCACCAAAAAGCTAAGTTTATAATATTCTAAAAGTCGAGTGCGGCCGCAGCAGCGACGGCGTTGGGGGTCATTAGCTGCTCATCCATCTCAAAGCTGAGGGCCTCTGCTTCTCACACCTGCCCCGGTCCCAGGCCCTGTTCTGAGACCTCCTCAAACCTGCCCCGGTCCCAGGCCCTGTTCTGGGACCTCCTCAAACCTGCCCCGGTCCCAGGCCCTGTTCTGGGACCTCCTCAAACCTGCCCCGGTCCCAGGCCCTGTTCTGAGACCTCCTCAAACCTGCCCCGGTCCCAGACCCTGTTCTGGGACCTCCTCAAACCTGCCCCGGTCCCAGGCCCTGTTCTGGGACCTCCTCAAACCTGCCCCGGTCCCAGGCCCTGTTCTGAGACCTCCTCAAACCTGCCCCGGTCCCAGGCCCTGTTCTGAGACCTCCTCAAACCTGCCCAGGTCCCAGGCCCTGTTCTGGGACCTCCTCACACCTGCCCCAGTCCAAGGTCCTGTTCTGAGACCTCCTCAAACCTGCCCCGGTCCCAGGCCCTGTGCTGGGACCTCCTCAACCCTGCCCCGGTCCCAGGCCCTGTTCTGAGACCTCCTCAAACCTGCCCCGGTCCCAGCCCTGTTCTGGGACCTCCTCAAACCTGCCCCGGTCCAAGGTCCTGTTTTGGGACCTCCTCAAACCTGCCCCGGTCCCAGGCCCTGTTCTGGGACCTCCTCAAACCTGCCCCGGTCCCAGGCCCTGTTCTGAGACCTCCTCAAACCTGCCCCGGTCCCAGGCCCTGTTCTGAGACCTCCTCAAACCTGCCCCGGTCCCAGGCCCTGTTCTGGGACCTCCTCAAACCTGCCCCGGTCCCAAGCCCTGTCTGGGACCTCCTCAAACCTGCCCCGGTCCCAGGCCCTGTTCTGAGACCTCCTCAAACCTGCCACGGTCCCAGGCCCTGTTCTGGGACCTCCTCAAACCTGCCCCGGTCCCAGGTCCTGATCTGGGACCTCCTCACACCTGCCCCGGTCCCAGGCCCTGTTCTGGGACCTCCTCAAACCTGCCCCGGTCCCAGGTCCTGATCTGGGACCTCCTCAAACCTGCCCCGGTCCCAGGTCCTGATCTGGGACCTCCTCACACCTGCCCCGGTCCCAGGCCCTGTTCTGGGACCTCCTCAAACCTGCCCCGGTCCCAGGTCCTGATCTGGGACCTCCCCACACCTGCCCCGGTCCCAGGGCCTGTTCTGGGACCTCCCCACACCTGCCCCGGTCCCAGACCCTGTTCTGGGACCTCCTCACACCTGCCCCGGTCCCAGGCCCTGTTCTGAGACCTCCTCACACCTGGCCCGGTCCCAGGCCCTGTTCTGGGACCTCCTCAAACCTGCCCCGGTCCCAGGCCCTGTTCTGAGACCTCCTCAAACCTGCCCCGGTCCCAGGCCCTGTTCTGGGACCTCCTCAAACCTGCCCCGGTCCAAGGTCCTGTTTTGGGACCTCCTCAAACCTGCCCCGGTCCAAGGTCCTGTTTTGGGACCTCCTCAAACCTGCCCCGGTCCCAGGCCCTGTTCTGGGACCTCCTCAAACCTTCCCCGGTCCCAGGCCCTGTTCTGAGACCTCCTCAAACCTGCCCCGGTCCCAGGCCCTGTTCTGGGACCTCCTCAAACCTGCCCCGGTCCCAAGCCCTGTCTGGGACCTCCTCAAACCTGCCCCGGTCCCAGGCCCTGTTCTGAGACCTCCTCAAACCTGCCCCGGTCCCAGGCCCTGTTCTGAGACCTCCCCACACCTGCCCCAGTCCCAGGCCCTGTTCTGGGACCTCCTCACACCTGCCCCGGTCCCAGGGCCTGTTCTGAGACCTCCCCACACCTGCCCTGGTCCCAGGGCCTGTTCTGGGACCTCCTCACACCTGCCCCGGTCCCAGGCCCTGTTCTGGGACGTCCCGTAGGAGGGAGCCCATCACCGTGGACCAAACGACCTAATGACACATGGAGTAAAAACTGCAGACATCAGCAGAAGTCTGTGCTCTGAGCCAGCTGAGCTCCAAGGGGGGCAGAGGTACTGTGAGCAGGAGGAGAAAGAGGAGAGAGGAAGAGGAGAGAGAAAGAGGAGAGAGAAAGAGGAGAGAGGAAGAGGAGAGAGAAAGAGGAGAGAGAAAGAGGAGAGAGGAAGAGGAGAGAGAAAGAGGAGAGAGAAAGAGGAGAGAGAAAGAGGAGAGAGGGAGGGGTTGTGTTCCCTTTGTTGTTGCTTGCTTTGAGTTTTTTTTTTCTTGCCTGGTTGTCTTCTTCCCTGCCTGCATGTGCTCGCTGTCTCTCTGCCTTTTACTGGTTGCTTTGCCTTTGCCTGTGATTGTGTCTTTTTTCCTCTCTTCTCTTTCTTTCCATATTTGCTTTCTTCGATTTGCTTTTTGTTGTCTTGTGTTGCTTCTTTTCTGTGATTGGTGTTGCTCTGCTATTTTTCGTGTTTTGTGTTGCTGTCCTTTTCCCTTGTTGCCCTGCTCTGCTTAGGTGTATGCTCTGTCCCGTCTTCTGTTGGCTCTGTGAGATGTCTTTGATTTCTCTATTGTTGTCCTTCCCCTTTTGGGTTGCTGTCTCCTTTTGTCTTTCTTTTTGAATTCTTCTTGCCTTGACTCTGCCCTCGTGCTTCTTGATCTTCTGTTTCTGCTGCGTCTCCTGCTTCTGCTTTGAATTTTGTTTGTGCTTTTTTTTGCTGCTATGCTTTTGTTCTGTGTGACTGTGAGTTTTCTGCTTTGTTTTGCCGCTTGTTTCCTCTTCTGTTCCTTTTGTGCTGCTGATCTCTTGTGGCCACTTTCTCTGTGTGTGTCTGGCTGTGATTTGCTTTGTCCCCTGCTGCTTGTCTGTTCTGTCTGTGCTTTTCCTGTTTATTGTTGATTGCTCCTGCTTCCTTTCTTGTTGCTTTGCTCCTATTGTTTTTTGTTGTTTCCTTTTCTTGCGTGCCTTGTCCTGTTTTGTTTGTGTGTTGATGCTGTTGAACTTTTTGTTGTTGTGTTGTTTGCTGTCTGTGTGCTCTTGCCTTGATCTTGCTCTCCTGTCTTGCGGCTTTTGGTGCTGCTTCTGCCTGTTTTGCTGTTGTTTGTGTGTGGCCTGATTGATTGCCCTCTGCCTTTCTGCTTGCTCGTTGCTGCTCATTCTGTTTGCCTGTGTTTTTTTTGCTTGTGGTGATTGCTTGTTGGGTGTCTCTGCCTGGTGGCTTCTTCGTTCGCGTTGCCCGTTCCCTGTTTTTTGTGCTTGCCTGCCCTGCTCTGTGTTTGTGTCTTTTTTTTGTTTTGTCGTTGATTGCTGCTGTGCTTTGATCTGCTTTCTTGTGCTGTTTCTTGTGTGTCTGTTGTGTTTTGTTGTGCCTTCTGCTGATGATTGTTGTGTTTTCCCAGTCCGTTCTGTTCTTTGATTGTTTCTGTGCGTTTGCTGTTGTGTGTGGTATGCCGCTGCCTCCCTCTGTTGTGTGGTGTCTTGCTCGTGATGGTGCGTGCTCTCTCCTGGTCTTACTGTGCTGACTGACTTGCACTTGATATGATCTGCTTGTGATTCTGTGTGTCTCTTTTGTCTGCTCTGTTGTCGCTGTTTTGATGTTCCTCCCCTTTTTGTCTGTGCTTTCTGACTCTCTGTCTCTGCTGACTGGGTGTGCTTTTTCCTGGTTCTTTTTTGCATGCTGTTGATGCTTGACCGTCGCCTGGCAATTTGCCTTGCTATGTTGATCTTGTGTGACTTGCTTTTTCTCCTGTCCTTTGGTTTTTTTTTTTGTTGCTTTTGCTGCTGGTGTGTGTTGTTGCCGTGTCTGCTTTGTGCTGTTCCTCTGTTGATTCTTGGTCGTCCTGTTCTTCTTGACTGCTTTTTCTTCTTGTTTGTGCTTGTCTTCCTGACTTTCTGTCTTTTCCTTTGCTGTTCCTTTAGCTTCGTTTTGATATTTTCCTGTGTTTCTATTTTTGGTGAGTTTGATGACTGTGATGTGATCGGCTAATGCCCGTGATCTGTGATGTGTTTGGTGTCTTTGTTTGTCCCTCTGCTGACCTTCCCTTTGTGTGTTTGCCTGCCCTCTGTTGTGCATTTCTTGCTGTCTGTCTCTGTTCCTTCTGCTTGATGTTCATGTTTGACTTCCTGCCTGGTGTTCTCTGTTGCTTGCCCTCTGGGTGTCTTCCTTATTCATTTCCTCTGCTGCTGTCTTTTGCCTTGTGTCCTGTTGTCTGCATGCTCTTGTCTGTGTTCTTTCGTTCCTGCTGCTTTTGTGCTTTCTTTGCGGTGTGTGTATGTTTCTTGTTGCTGATCCTGTTTGTGCTTTGACTTGCTTTCTTACTTGTCTTGTGCTTGCAGTCTGTTGGTTTTTTTTGTTTGTGTTTTTGTCTGCTGCTCTCTGTCCGCTTGTTCTGGGCCTGCTGTCTTGCGTATGCTCTCCCTTGTGTCTTCTTTTCTGATTCTGGTTGTGCCTTCTGTCGCTTTCCCCTGTGTCCAGACTACTGATTGATTTTGTCGTCTGTGGATGTTTGACTTCTTGCTCTTTGCTTTCTGCTCTCCCTCGTTGTGTTGTTTGGTGTGCTTTCTGTCTGTTGTCTTCTTTCTTGTTTCCCTTACTGTCTGCTGTTTTTGTTTGTGTGCTTGCTTTTTTTGATGCTGCTGCCTCTGTCTGCTGCTTCTTCCTTTCTCTTTTTGTTTGCCTGGGTTGACTTGATTTCTGCTGTGGTGCTTTTCTTCTTTGCTGTGTTTTTGTGATCTACTATGCCTTTGTGAATGTTCCTGCTGCCTCCTGTCTTCTCACCCCTGGTTGTCTGTTGTGATTGCTTTGTTCTGTTTGCTGATGTCTTTTGTCCTGCTTGCTGCTTGTTGTCTTTTTTCTGCATGTGTGGTGATTGTTTGTGTTGTGATCTGATTGTACCCCTGTGTTCTTTCTTATTTGGTTTTCCTTTGTTGTTTGTCCTCCTCTTTTGATTCTTCTTTGCCCATTTGCTTTTGTCTGTTCTTGTTTGTGTTATTCTTATTTGTGATCTGTGTTCTGTTTCTTTGACCCTTTGAACTGTGCTCTGCTGTTTATCTTCGTGTGCAAGCTAGCTGAATGTTGTGTGTTGCCCTCTTTCCTATTCCCTTTTGCTTGTGTTGCTGTTTCTTGTTGTTGCTGCTCATGCTTTTTGCGCTGTTTGCTGTTTTCTCTGGTGCTGTCTGTTCTGTTCTGGTTTGAAGCTGCTTCTTTGTTGATGCTCTGGGTTTCTGTGACTCTTTGCTTTGATGTTTGGTTGTTCTCATTGTGTGCACTTGTTGCTATGCTCCCTTGCTTGTGTTTGATCTTTGCCCTTGTGTCTGTTTTGCCTTTGCTGATGTCTGTTGTTGATTTTTTGTTGCCTGCCGTGCTTGTGCCTGTGCTTGTTTGTTTGTTGTGCTTGCTTGGTGATGCGTTGTGCCCTTTGTCCCTTCTCTAGCTCCCTGTTTTCGTGCTTTCCCTTTGTGTTGCCTCCCTTTCTTTGACCCTTTGCTCTTTCTCATGGTTTTGTTTGTCACTTCCCTGACTTTGCCTGCTCGGTTGTCTTTGTTCTGTGATGGCTGCTGGTCCCCTGCCTTCCTGATCTGGCTTGTTGTGTTGGATTGTCTGTGATGTCGTGTGTTTTGCTCCGTTGTGTCCCCGTTCTGTCTGTGATGATGAAGCCTTTTGTGTCGGTGTCTGCTGCCTGTGTGCTCTTGTTTGCTTGGAGGTATGTGCCTTCCTGATGCCTGTTCTGCTGATGTGTGCATTGTCTGTCCATGTGACTGTTGTTTATCGTAGGTCTGCTGTCTTGCTTGTCTCTTCCTGCTTGCCTTTGTCGTTCGTGTTCACCTTCTTGTGCTTTCCTGTTGTGTTGTTGTGCTGATTTCACCTCTGTTTGCCCCCTTCTTCTCTCCATCTTTGACTCATCTGTGTGTGTCTTGTCCTCTGGTGCTCTGACTTTCCTATTCTGTGTTGGTCCTGTTGTCCCTCTGTGCTGTTCTCTGCTGATTGTACCGTCGGCCTGTATCTGTTGATTGCTTGTTGTTTGTGTTGTTGCTTGCATCTTATTGTGTTTGACTAGCTCCTGCTTTGCTATTGTTTGCTTCATCCCTTTGCTTTGCCTTTGACTGCTGATGTTGTGATTGTCATCTTGTGCTTCTTTGATTCTCTTTTGTGATTGTGTTTTTCTGTGCCTGGACTCCCTTCTTGCTTTGCTGTGCATTTTTCTTTCTCTGTTTTCTCGTTCTTGCTTGCCTTCTCGGTCTTTTCTGTTTGACTTTCCCTCTCTTGTTTATCTTGAGCCTCCTTGACTGGCGTCTGCCTTGACCCTGTGACTCTCTAGTGGTGCTTCACTTATGTGTTTTGTTGCTGCCCTCTGGTTTGTCTGTCTTGCTGCGCTCTGCTTGTGTGCTGTTTGGGTGTTTCTCTGTGTTGTGACTGTGTCTCTTTTTTGCTGGCTATGTTGTTTGTCTGTCCACTCCCTGCTTTCCTCTGATTCTTTCCTGTGACTTTCTTTGTTTCCGTTTTGTTTGCCTGCCCCTTGTCTTGCTGTTGCTTCTGATATGTGTGGACTGTTGTTGTGTTGTTGTTCCCCTCCCTCTTTTGTTTGTTGTCCCTGTCTTGCTTGTCCTTTTTTTCCTTGTTCTTTGTTCTTCTGTTTTGTTTTGTCCTGTGTTTCTCTGTTTTGTCTTTCCTGTTTTTTTGACTTTGTTGTTTTTGTGTGCGATTTTTGTTTGTTTTTGACCACTGCCGCTTTGGGGGGGGTCTGTGTTCTTGTCTCTCCTGCTTGGTCCTTTGTTCCTGACTTGCCCTTCTCCTTCCTTTGAATCTCCTTTGGTTGTGTGACTTTTTTTGCTGTCTCTTTTATGCCCTTATGCTGTTGGTTTTTGTTTTGTTCTGTTTGTGTGTATCATCCTTCCTGTTTGTTTTTTCACTCTGTTTTTTGTCTCTTTCTCCTCTTGTCTGATGTTGCTGTGTTGC